CACTGTTTGGGTTCACCTGTACAGTCTCAGTTGTTTGTGTACTGTTACTGTTGGGTATTTGGTTTACAGTGATAGAAGAGGGGTTCCTTAAGGGAAAAGGCTGGGAACCACTGGTGTAAGTCATACTGAATCTAAAAATATGTCAATCACGTCACTGTGTTTAGATTTCCCAAGTTAGGACTCCAAATAGAAGTGTCATTTTTTAGGCAAATTGCAGTAACTAACATACTTTACATACCAGCTTCTCACAGCTTTACCTTAGTTTGGGATTTTCTTAAAAGTATCCTGTAATATAAACCCAATGCCCTCATTTTGAAAAAGATGAGTTTAACAAACCAACCTTAGTGTTAATGTACAGTCCACAGAGGCACGAGACGAAATGGCTGTTGATGGTCAAGTTGTTCCTGCGAGACACAAGAAGCATGTTAAAAATCAAGGTTACCACTCTTTTCAAGAGCACATTTTCTAGGACCTTTCCAAGGAGTTCTCTCGATAGTACAGTACAGCAGCACACACAAACGGTCATACAATAGACGGGTAGCCCTCGTAGGTGGTCATCTTTTATTGGACGCTCCACGTTAGCTTGCTGATTTTCCCGCAGCGGTTTCAGTAAAGTGGTCTCCGGCAAACTGACTACAGTTTCGCTCCATTGTTGCACATACAATTAACATCCCTGTGCATGTACTTAACCACAGCAACAAATCTGATCATTCATAGCCTGTATTTCCAGGTGTTTCCATTACCGGAAAACTACTCTCTACACTTCCATGTTTGCATGTGTGGGAAGCCTGAAACTGTCGTTATCAACACAGCTCCAGCTATTTTTGCCTCTACAACAAATTATATCGCTTTTTCATTTTCTGATTGAATATTCAACGTTACAGCAGTCATTTCTTGGACTCACATGTGACATATGGGACAAATAATATGCGTCTCTTCCATCCCTTCCACAACAGATGATATGTACTGCTGCTCGAACTGCTGGTTCCTCTCGTACTCTTCAATAATAGACATTTCTGTGGCACAAAGAAAAGAATGCCCAACTTAAATCAACATCATCCGTGAGAAATATCTCAACCCTTCTGGTTTTACCGCTGTATATAATCATTTTTAGATATGTGGCATTACAGACACTTGCTTGGATAGGAAAAGAAAACAGAAATGCGTTACCGTGAGACATGAGCTCCTGCTGGATTTCCTCTAGTACTGCCAGTTCATCGTACTCCTTCATGACACTAAACATCTGTTTAGCAGAAAAGAAAGCTGACTGCACTTGCTTACAGAGCTCAAACAGATAGTTGATTCAGCTCTATGCTCCAGATGATGACACCTCAAGTGCTTGCTCCATCTTTAAAGCTGCAGTAGGTAATAAAAACAACTGTCATATCTGCTGAAACCTTCACTATATCCTGACAGTAGAACATGAGACAGATAATCTGTGAAACAATCAGCTTCCTCTGGTTCATTATAGAGCTCCTAATGGGATTTGCAAGAATCCACCGGGCCTGAACAAAAACAACCAATCAGAGCTGAGAAAGACAGTTGAGTCTCACTCAACTATCAACTATCTTCAAACCACCAACCCAAAGCGTCTTTCCATCTCTCGGCTCTGATTGGTTGCTTTCGTAATTTCCTATTAGAGTGGAAGGGTTTTGGAACTATAGGTCCTTTTGGACTTTTAATGGACTGGACTCAATAGGACAACCATAAATCCATCTCTCCTATTCTGTATGATAGGTTCCAAAACAAAGTAGAATTTCTAAATAGAAATTCCTGGAAATCTGGAATCCTGTAGGACTTTGCGATTAGGGAAGAGAGCCTAGAGCCATGTAACGTTAGACCCTGGCATAGAGAAAGTATCCGTAAGGGCAAAGACAAAGTGGGGCAGCCAAAGAGAGACCGACCTCTGCCACCCCCTCCGGCCCCCACAGTGAGGGCAGCCTGCGGTCCTCTGACTGCAGGGCGGTCCACTCCTCCTCCATCACCTCCTGGACGATGATGGAGGCCCCGGAGCCGCTGCGCTGCGGGCCCTCTCCCATCTGTCGGTACCTGTCCAGCAGCCTCGACCGGCTGTTCTTGAGTCTGTCCACACAGCGCTACACGAGACATTGGGAGACAGCGAACAGCAACATGTTAAAGCGACAAGAACCGGCGCAGCCCGACAGCTAGCTCCCGCTAGCTCACCGAGGAGCTCGCGGTGCATTGCTCACCTTGCGGTAGGTTTCTTTCCATGGCGGAGTCGTTCCTTTGTAAAGTGAGCGGTGTCTGTGCAGAGCGTCCATGTGGAGTGCTTCCAGCGAGCGTACAGTGGCACACATACAGCGGCCTGTCCAAAGCAACTGGCTGAAATTAGGAAGACTTCAAAGGCACAACACTTCAGCTTTTAACCCCGTGACCCGGAAGTTGTTGCGCGCTGCCTGCCGCCAGAGCCAGAGCCATTACTTCTTCTTCTTCTTCTTCTTCTTCTTGTTTTACGGCATCCAGCTTATTACCGCCACCTTCTGCTCCGGAGTGCGAATCAGAAAATACACTGACTGTCCAAATCCTTAGAACAGATACATACAGTGTGCGAACTAGTACTGAAAAACATGAGCTCCCCTCGATGCATGGTGTGTGAATTTATTTTGGGGGGTCTCTAAAATATTGAAAATATGCTATTTTTGCCGTGTAGAGTATTTCTAGTTTTATCGTATCTTTATCATCATGGATCATGTATAAAATTAGACTATTATAGATGTGGGTCTGTTTCTATGATGAGACTTCCTGCACCCCTAATTCCCTTAATGTTCCCCTCATCACCTCTCTGTCCCAGACCTCCTACAACTCAGAACTACATATTCCACCGACTCCTCTTCCTGACACACAACCACACAACCCCGTCTGATGTTTCCCTACTATGTTCTGTGTTTTATATAGTGCACAGTGTCCCTGTCTTAACCCTAACATTACTGTTCCCACTCTCCTGTGCCCACTGACTACCCCAGTTTCTTCCACACTTACCTCCTTTCCCCTCTCTGTCCCATCTTTTTCTTGCTTTGTTGTTTAACTTCTGCTTTGATGATAATAATTTGCATTTCTTTTTTCTCTCTCTTTAATGCACTCTTTGCCAATGCACCCAATCTCTCCTTTCCCATCACCCCTACATTCACTGGAACACCCAGAAATGTCACCTGACCGGCCACGGGTTGGGTTGCATCATGGGTTATGTAGTTCAGTGCTGATGAACACAAATAATTGTGTTGTTGAGTGGAACTGGCCGTTTGCTATTTGTTAGTAATAAAAATTGCAAAGTTGTATGTTATTTGGATGACATTTGATACAAATTAATGAACAGTTGTTTATTTTATTTTATTTTTTTATTTACCAGGGACAATGCACATTAACCAATATTGCTTAAGTTAACACTTTAATGTAAATGTAGCAGAATTTGTATGTCATCATTCAATATGTCACATACCGTTGGGACTGTTCTCAGACACTATATTTTTAATCAGAGTGGCTGAGCAAATACAGGGTCAGAAATACACTTATTATGTAAGAGAAGACCATCTAATCTGGCCACGTATCAATTAATGTAGTAACTGTTCATTCACATTCCTTAACTGATGAGCTATTCAGTGTCAATCATTTGTTAATAGTGAGCAACAGGGATTCATGATACATCCTGCATTAGTCCATTCATTAAATCACCATGAATCATCATTAGTTAAACATGAATTAAGTTTGTTATAAGTATGTATGTACCCTTATTGTATTCATAGGTATGTGTTCATTAAAAACACAATGATTCCTATATTCACTTTTCTTTTCACCTTTCTTTGCGTCGTGTCTGGCTGCATCTCTGGGAAAATTGAAAATCAATAAATATATTCAGTTAATCATTGCATTGAACATTTTGTCAGTTTATATTTCTATACATTCTATATTATACATTTATTTAGGTTTTTACACAGTCAGCAAGCAGCCAGGTGACTCACTGTGTATATATCATAGTCCAGAGGTCAGCTGCTGTTATTCTGTCTTCAAGAGGCTTTACAAATCACCTCCTCTCTTCCAACTCAATGGCCTCCTTTGCTTGTGGGTAGAGCTGCATTTGGGAGGGAGATAAATCCACTTTCTAGCTTACAGCCTACATACCTGCTTTATGGAGACCTGGTTGTCGCTGAAAAAGCACAAGTTGTTAATCTGGAGGGGGAATACAGAGAATGACACTAGCTGATGTTGTACACCAGGTTTGGGTGTTGGGGTATCACGTATCAGCCAATAACGCAAAGAGTAAAGCATTATGGCAGTATGAAAAACAATGCTAAGTGTTAGGAACTTTCAAAAACAGCTCAGGTACAGGCTCCAATTTCAAAGACAAAATGTTCCAAAGAAAAGTAGCTGTGCTTCGGAAAACATTCGCAAAGCAAGTAAAAAAAATAATTGTTTAATGATTTCCTACATGAGAAAAATCTGGTTCCTCTGGTTCCTCCTAGAGCTCCTAATGGCATTTGCAAGAATCCACTGGGCCTGTACGAAAACAACCAATCAGAGCTGAGAGAGATGGAAAGGAACCTGATATTTTTCACAGATTATCTGTCTTGTGTACTACTGCCAGGATATAGTGAAAGTGTCAGTGAATATGACAAAAAATTAAAACTGCAGCTTTAATCTGAAAAGTAGCTGTCATATAGGTAAATGTAGTTGAGCAAAAAGTAAATATTTCCCTTTGAGATGCATGGAGAAAGATAAAGTACAAGTACCTCGAAACTGCAATTTCTACCAATAAACCCCCTTCCCAATAATAATGAGAGGAGCATTCCCCCATAAAGCATATGAGTTCATATAACGGTGTTAGTGGGGCTCGGCCTACTCGAAGTGATTCACAAAATCCTCCGTGTTCTCCTCCTCCTCCTCCTCCTCCTCCTCCTCAGCAGCAGCTTTCACACATCTGGTCGGCTGGTTTCAGCACCTCGGACAGCGAACTCTCCGATAGGCTGGATCCGCGACAGCGACTGCAGCAGCGGCAGCATCCCGGCCGGCCGCAGCCAATCAGAAGGCGTCATTTCTCTCCCACATCCAACCCGAATAACTGCAGATGCCCGCACCAAAGCAACGGGTCTCTCTCCTCTCTCTCTTTACATCGCTTAAGCCGCTGTCTATTTTTGGAATTCGTAGTGGCCATCTTTTCTCTGCCTCCCTCTCGGTATTCTCCGCCTTTGTTTTGGTTTATGTTTTCGAAGCGATATGCGCCGTTCGATGTTTGTCTGAGCGAGGGTCGTGAGCATCGTAGCGGGACGTTAATAGCCGCGGCCGGGTAGATTTTCGGCTCTCAATGGAAGACATCTTCCTACTCGCTGCGAGCGAGGGAGTGAAGCACATTTCGCATCTGCTTCGCATCTGTATTCCCGTCGACGAGCGAGGGACTTTCTATAAATGAAGGCTTGAAAACCGGGAGACGGCCTGTAACGCTGGCACATCACCGGGGAACGACCGTTTGAACGCCCCCGGACCCCTGGACAGCTCGGTGTGGAAACCGAGCAGAACGGGTGGAAAGCGCTCTCACATTTTGACCGCATTTGCACAGCAGCAAGGGGATCAAGGTGTGATCTATGGATTCCACAAGAAGAGTCGATTAATTAGAAGGTAGGAAAACACACAGGATTGCTTTGCTGCAGATGGCAACACAAATATTTTCATCTCTGCATATAATAAAACAAAAACTAATGAGAAGGCCCAAGTAATTAAAATCCATCAATTTAGACATTGACGCACAGGTGTGTGAGCGCTCTGTTGTGCAGATTTAGATGACTTATGTTGCAAAAAAAAAAAAAAAAAATCATACACACATTAATCAGCAGCAACATATGTCTCATGTTGAGCCTGTGGATGTGAGAGCACAGGCCTATCAGCTGTTTCTGGGGCTGCCTTGTGTTGGAGGGGCTGTTTTCAAGGCTTCCATTTTGAAGCTAAGATGGATGCTTGCGCACATTTCTTTCTCATGCCTCTGTGGCCTTATCTTGGCTCTTATATAATACTGATGAACACTGGAGAGGCGAAAGGCCCGTGTTGAGCTGGCGTGAGAGACGCATATGCTATTTGTAGAGAGGAATCAGCAACAATGTTAAATCGCAATGAAATTAAATTCATGGTTGCTGAGGTCCCTTCTAGTAGAGTACAGAGGCATGCTCATACTATTTGAAAATAAACAGCAGGCTGCTTTATGTGACCACAGCATTTATGGTCTTACTATGAAGGAATGCCATCAAATTATGTAGCTACACAATGTAAAATAAGGTTTTCTGTCACATTGCTCAAACAGAAAACATTATAAAACCATTTACTATTAATTGATTTTTTAATTACCTTTAAAGTTTTAAAAGGTTTCCTTCTCACTCAGTCCCCCCAAACAACAAGTAAAAACATTGGTTTGACTAAAGAAAACAACACCCACTTAATTTAAGGTCCACTTACTAGTTGCTTGTGTTTCTTTTAACCACATTTCAGTCTTCTTTGGGGTATGGGGTTTGCTCAGCTAACATGGTTGCTAGGATACAGCAACATCACCATGGAAAAATCTATGTGGGAAGTTAGATCCATACTGAGCAAAGTGCATTAGCCGAGGAAGACAGTGAGATGCGGCCCAAAGCTTCAGAAATAGCCCGAGCAGACAGTTTTTATTCCGACTTGGTTGTCAAAAAAAGGAGTAAAAATGCAAGTGGAAAAACAGATAAGTGGACCTTTATTACTTTCCTCTTCACTCACTCCAAGAGACTCCTGTGTGAAGGCTCAAACGTAACTTAAAGTCAATTTACTAGCTTTTTTCCAGAGCTTTCAACCTCATCCCACCATCTTCCTTAGCGGATGGAATTTGCTCAGTTGTCATGGTAGTTGCTATTCAGGCAGCTCAATGAAGACTGATTAAACTCCATCTGCTGTGGAAGACCATGAGATGCATTTAAAGCACAGAAAAGCCAAGTAAATAGACCTTGAATTAAATGTGAAATAAAAAATTAAATCTTTTGTTGCTGATGGCTTAATTGCATATTATTTACGACCTGTTATGTAACTAATGGAGATCATTGCCACCCCTTCCTGTTCTTTGCTCACAGGTTCGACTTCCTCCAGAGACACTTTGGTCCCCTCAAAGCTCTTTGTCTAGACCAATCAAAGAGCTTTTCCCCTACTACTCCTCACTCCGCCCTTCCTCTGTCCCACTGCTAACTCTCACACAGGCATCATGGGTACGGTGCTGTCGCTGTCTCCCAGCTACCGCAAGGCGGTGCTGTTCGAGGATGGCCCGGCCACTGTAGGCCACTACACAGCGGTCCAGAACAGCAAGAACGCCAAGGATGCCGCCGCAGCAGCCGCAAAGTCCCTCAAACGGCCTTCTATCATCAATGTGTTGCCATGGAAACGCATCGTGGCCGTATCTGCGAAGAGGAAGGGCTCCAAGAAGCTACAGTCAGACATCGGGGACGGTGGGAAAGGGAACTCACCGGATGGCCACGGCACTGCCATGGCCAACTCAGCCTCCAATAGCCTGAAGCTGAAGAAGTCTCAGTCCTGTGCTAACCTTTCATCTTACACATCCAGCCAGGACCCCTCGGCCACTACCACCACTACCTCCTCCCACCTGCCTACTTCCAAGACCCTGGCCAACGTAGTTACTGTTGCTGCCAAAAAGAATTCCCTGACAGGCTCCGGGATCCAGCCGTCTACTGCAGCCGGCACGCCAAAACGTGTCATCGTCCAGGTAGCCCTAATCCAAACTGTTTCTTATTTTTAAACTCATTGATTTAATTTACCAATCCTCTTTCTCATTTTTTCTCTTTTGTATTTTGTTATCTGACCCAGGCATCCACCAGCGAACTGATGCGCAGCCTGGGCGAGTTCCTGTGCCGTCGGTGTTACCGACTGAAGCGTCTATCCCCGACGGATCCTGTGCTGTGGCTGCGCAGCGTGGACCGCTCCCTCCTCCTACAGGGCTGGCAGGATCAAGGCTTCATCACACCGGCCAACGTGGTCTTCCTCTACATGCTGTGCCGCGACGTGGTTTCGTCCGAGGTGGCCTCAGAGCGCGAGCTGCAGGCCTCGCTGCTCACCTGCCTCTACTTGTCCTACTCCTACATGGGCAACGAGATCTCCTACCCACTGAAGCCCTTCCTGGTCGAGGCAGAGAAGGAAGCCTTCTGGGACCGCTGCCTGGAGATCATCAACCGCATGAGCGGCAAGATGCTCCAGATTAACACCGACCCGCACTTCTTCACCCAGGTGTTTGCTGACCTAAAGAACGAGAGCAAGAAAGAGGAGGAGAAGACCAAACTCCTCATAGGCCTTGACCGATAAGAAGGAGCTGGGAGGGGGGAAGGAGGGAAGGATGGATAGAAAGATTGATGGAGTTAGGAGGTTGGTGGACTAATGTAATGCAGTGTAGCGATACCTTGGAGCAGTACTGTTGTCTGGCGTCTCTACAGGTTTATCATTAATCAAATCATTAACCTGTTTGAACAAAGAGCTTCTGGCATTAAACACAGCATTTAAATCCTTTGAGTAGGGTAATGAGCCACCCAAACACTAACCGGCTTACACCAGAGGCAGATACTGAACTGCAGTGTCTCACCTGAAGCCAGTAACTGGCCTACAGATCACCTTTATGACAACAAAGCAGATAAAATCAGGGTTACTGTGGTGCTGGCCACAACACCAGGCTCATTATTTGACATGATTGGATCTGATTAAATTCACAAAACTGACAGGCTACTTGTTGCCTGGGTCAGTTGGCTCAGGATGCAACAATAAAAAGATATGAGTCGTTCAAGAAAAATGTAGCTGACAACACAGATGGAAGCTATGTTTTTATCAAATGCCTGGCCAGCAGGGTCGGTGACATTAACAGGCTGAGAAAGATAGCTATCATTTTTATCTGTTGCCTCAGGCCCAGAGACACGCATCCGTCTGACCTGTACCTTGTTTCAGTGAGATAAGAAATTATATCTGATTGATCTGACATCATTTTCTGTCTTTTCACAGAAATGAATGGGTTTAGAAATGCCAGACAACATAGATTCACTCGTTTAGGCTAGATATTATAAATATAAAGACACGGGACATTGACAAGATTATATTGTGTGATAGCATCCAGGCATCTTCGTTATAGAGAAATGTCAGGGTAATTGAAAAACCATCTTGCATGAGGTCACTTCATATCTCCTTGCACATGTCCACCTGCTTATTGCCAACTCCACTTTACCTTATTCCTATTGTCCTGCCCACGCTTATTGCACTCACCAACACTGGCTGTGAGGTCCACTGTTGAAACTTTATGCGCATTAAATAAAACCATATAATGGATGAGCTAGAATCAACCACAACTGGTCTGCAAACTTATCGGACTGTGAAATTAAAGTCGCTATTCGGCGTAATTGTACTGTAGTGGGTTAATCCATTCGTATCTTACATAAAGTACTGTACTTTTAAGAGAAGATTAGGGTTTATCCAGTCAAATCTGCTATGAATTGGGAGATCAGTTATTTATTTTTAAGAGTATGAAATGCTAATCCCTTGGGCACAGATTAATAGTTGTCAAACAAGCCCTCCTGTAAGCTGTTTACATTTACAAAAACATGGGGAAATGCAATACTGACCCCTCCAGGGCATATTTTACACTGGGAATTATTTCATTCCTTCCTGTTCCCCTGCACTTTCTCCTGCAGTCCATATTGGTGCTGTCCTGAATGACCACATGAAAATGAAAATGTTTGAAAGAAAGAAAGAAAGAAAGAAAGAAAGAAAGAAAGAAAGAAAGATTTCTGTTTTAAAACACTGCACTCATGTTGTGTGCTTCGTACTGTATGAATGATTGGTGGAGCTGGGTTGTGGAGGACGAGTTCTGGGTCGTAGAGGAGATCTCAAATAATGGCCACAAACGTCAGAATGAGAGAAAATGTGATTATATTCCCGGTTTGTGTGGGCGGGGGCAGACGCTACAAGTGTAGATGAGACTTTTCTTCCAAAACAACACTTTGATGTTGCTGTCGCCTCCTGGCTGGAGGGACCACCTGTTTGAAGTGTCGCCCCCTCCTCTCCCCTCTCCCCTCTCTCCTCCGCTCATTACTTTCCACAGCAACAAACTAAAATGACAATCTGCTCCAGTCTGGTCTGAACCGGTCCTGTCATGTCTGGTGCGGTCCAGTTCGATCCAGTTGTCCCATATTTAGAGACTCTCTCTGTTGACCCGATGGCTTACTTATTCACCGAGTTGTTTGACATGCATGTGTGCTTCTATAGGTTTCCTAGCATGCTGCTTTGTGTTGGACACACCGCACCACATGTTACAGAAGAGACTGAGCTGTCGCCACACTGAACTGCTGAAAGCTAGGCTCAGTGATGTGACATCCAGGCGACTCGGCACAAGGACTCTCTAATGAAGGAAATGCGTGAAAGGCTAGTTGTATCCCTGCCTATGCTGCACATATATCGATAAAGGCAAGTCCAAGCATCGGACGCTCATCGGAAAGTCCGCTGCTCTTGGTTCCATGGTGCTTAGGGGCCTAAAAGACCCCTCCAATATTAAACAAGGAGTTTTTAACTGGTTATGAATTTAATTCTTTTGCCTCTGTCGGACCTAAATAAACTAACAAGACCATCACTGAGAAGATTGGCTATTTCTACATACTGTAGTTATTCTTAATGCTTGCTACCAGTTTTATCCTAGGTAGTCTAAACCCAAAGTCACGCAAGAGTTTAAATCATTTTGTTTGGCTATTTAAGGGCAATTCAGCTTTGCAATTGAATAAATTTGGGGCTTCATAAGATATAAAGAAATTGAAGGAGGTGCCAAGAAATCTGTACTTTTAGTTCCTAGTATGGGAACTAACTCCAAAAATGCTAGATCCTACATTTCCCATAGGACAAGTGGATAGTAGTTTCTAACACAAGCTTTATTTTAAAAGTTGTAAGTCTTTGGGTGCCCCGATGGCTTACCTGGTGGAGCTGGCACCCCATGTGCCAGGGTGTGGCCCTTTGCTGCGTGTCACCCCCCCCCTTTCCTGTCAATCTTCAGTTGAAAAAAGCCCCTCCAAACAATACTCTCAAGCCCAAGCAAAGAAGACATCATGAGGATTATTTTTTTTTAACTTTGGAAAGCTCCCTCCAGAGCCATCGAAGACCAGCTGAACTTCATGTAAAAAAATCAGTGGTGTGCCTCAAGAGATTCCCTGTCTTGATGATGTCACATCACTAAGTCTAACGGTAGCTGATAAATTGTCTACAGTTTTAGAAACGCTCTGCCTTTTCAAACAGGGCAGAGACCTTGTGCCATATCGTTATGAACACTCCTTATTTCATACAAAAAACTATAAAACACAAAGAAACACGAGCCAACTCAAAGTCTCTGACTGCTGAGCAAGAAAGACTATAAAGGAACCCTGGATAAGCTTTTCATGATGTTGCTCTGCTGTGTTAGAGATGTGGACCATGACAGACTTTGTTCAGGTGGCAAGGATGTGAAGTCAAAATAGAAAGCTTGTGATTTTAATACACAGTGAAGTTTTATGTGTCACTTTGCAAAATGTAAGCCAAAATTGGAGTCATCCAGAGCTGGAGCATTCAGCATTCTGTTGGTGAATTTATAATTTTTGAAAAATTATATTTGGCCTGCTCTCTGAGATGATTAAAAACTGAAAAAAACAGTCCCCTATTTACTTAAAAGACATGGGGAATGGGATTTTAAAAACTTTTGAAAACAGAATATTATGCCTGTTTCCAGACTGGGTGTCTCCACGATGCAGGTGGTGTTTTAACTCTGGTTGTGTTTTGTGTTCAGATGATAACCGATCGGGCTGCAGTAGGTACCATGCTGTAAAAATAATGTAGCCTTGATGCAGAGTCAGACCTCATGAGACAAATATGCACATGAAGAATGAATCCATGGCAAACAAACTTGTTTACACGTCTTTCCTGATAGCTGTTTCTGATGGGTTGAACAGTATACAAGTAGCATTTCTCTGAATGGCGTTCCCAAGACGACTGTTGTATGATCTTTTTTTTCTTAATTTGTTGACCCAAACTGCAAGTAGTAGGTTTGTATGGAATTATATCATAACAGGTCAATGGACGAAAGAAATGTAGAAAGGTGACAAATTATCGTTTCCATGGCAAGACATGACAAACTGTCAAGTCATGGTGATAAACATAAATTTGTGTTTTTTGTACAATACAATGATTCGACCATCACCCAGAATCAGTAGAGCAATGATCATTTTCTATGTTGAAATCAAGAGATGCTACCTGATTTGGATTCTTTGTGGTAAATCTTAAAGTTTAATTGACTGTTTGCTAAATCCCACCAACTTTTGTTTTATGTTGATACACCTGTCAGGCTTTCTGTTCTCACACAACACATGTGCAGTTACGACTGAATGGAAGATTTATGATGACTGAAACTATAGCTACTCAATTTGAGATAGAGGTAGACTAAAGGTTTGTTAGTCAGCTTCTAATTCCTAGCTGGAAACAGTTTTGTTTTGCCTGGCAGATTTTATCAACTGTGGCTAGCTAATTAAGCTAATGCTCTCTCAGTATATTGCAGACATTTTATTTTTTCCAGCTGACTCATTTTAAAATTATGTAAAAGGACTCTTAAATATGCAGCTGTTGGCTACATACATGATATTTTGCTAAAGCTAGCAGGTCCTGGGCAAAAACCTAGCATCCTCACCAGCGATGTTCCATGTAGAAGACATAGAAAATAAAGAAACAGTATTGTTTGGACAGTGTAGAGCTAGTGAGTCCTAATATTGTAAATGTAATTTTTTTTGCGTTTTATAATGTTACAAGAGTAAAGTGTTTGGCTAACATAATATTATCTGGGTAACATCGGCTACACTCCGTCTAAACTGCCCAGATCCAATAAAGAGGAGGACAGCGCTGCTAATGTTATAGCTTAACATCCAGGACCAGCTTCCTCACAGTACTACACACAAGATGTGCATTTAAAGAACATGGTTTTGTATTTAACATGTAGCCCTATAAACTGATGTACTGTATGTGCTCTTTTGCCCTGGAAGTAAAGCTGGATTACTACTGTTGCTAGCAAGCTAGTCAGTGGGGCTTGCTAATGATTACACTGTTCATTTCATTCCTTACACTTTTGAACCCTTGACAACTATCTCTCTTACTACATTACTATTACTATTACTAAAACTTTCACTATATATTGACAGTAGAACATGAGACAGATAATCTGTGAAAAAATCAGGTTCATCTGGCTCCTCCTAGTGCTTCTAATTTGCAAGAATCCACTAGTCTCGAACAAAAACAACCAATCAGAGCCGAGAAAGATAGGGAGCTTTAGGTTGGTGGCTTGAAGATAGTTGATTATTGAGTTTTATTCCCAGCATCTGTATTTGTCGACCTGGGAATCAGACTCAGCAATCATCTTTCTTGGTTCTGATTGCTTGTTTTTGTTCAGACCCAATAATTGCTGTAAATGCCATTAGGAGCACTAGGAGGAGCCAGAGGAACCAGATTTTTTCACAGATTATCTGTCTCATGTTCTACTGTCAATATATAGTGAAAGTTTCAGCAATAATGACAAAAACTTATATTTATAAAAGCTATCTACTGCAGCTTTAAACAAACATGGTTTGAGGGAGGGATTTAGCAAACGGTCAATTCTAACTTACAAATTGACACCCGATCCTAAGTACAGTTGATTATTCAATACCATGTGGATGTCAGATGATAGCTTTTGACAGTTCAGGTAGAGAGATGATGCATTTCCCTGTGAAACAAAAGAACTGAGGAACAAAAGTCACTATTTTTGCTTCCACTTGCTCCAGTCCATCTAGCTGTGCAGGGACAATAAAAACAAGACAAGGAAGCCAGGACAGGAACCTTTTTCTAGAATTAAAGAGAGTATGGGTTGACTACACCCCCTCCTATACACACTCTCATCATTGATCAACTCATAACTGTGTGCCATATTTTACCTTGCAACATGTACAAGACAACTATCGTGTAACATATGAAGCTTATGATAATGATTAAGTTATTATTGGTTTTCCTTCCTTTTCATTTGTGAATCATATTGTGAAAACAAGAATCTTTGTTGAACAAAAGTCAAGGCTACTAGTGTTACTAGAGTACTGATGCTGCAGTCTGTTACTATGTGGATGTATGAATATGTATGTGAGAAATATGAATAATTTGATTAACTGTTACAGGTACTTTATATAAAAACCTTTACAAGCATGGTCTTCCTTGTTTATTTTCAGGTTGTGGGTTTTTATGGATAGGTAGATGTTGTGGCCCTTTAGAGACAGTTCTTAGTGTGACCACAACAAGGCAGCGCTGTGTTGTTGAAGTGATATATAGCAGCTGCAGGTGAGTACATTTTGTTTAGGGGTGGAAGTGGTATTTGGGGAGTTTTGAAAGTTCCCATAATAGGCAATGCAGTTATTTCTGGCTGACTCTGTAGTGGCTCAGTGGGTGTAGTGTTGATAGATGTTGTTTTGGCGCACCGAGAGATGGATATAATTCTAGCTGGAGTTTTAATACAGAGAGATTTAGGACGTACAACTCTGTACAATATTCTGAAAGGATTTGATCAAAATACAAGCTTGTTTAGGTTAACACAGTCCTAACATAATGTAAATAGGTAGTTGAGAAAACTGTTTTTGAGCTTGTGTTTAGTTCAAGTACAAAGAAATCTTTAACAGAAAATCTATAAACAGAATAGACTATATTGATTCATATACTGTATACATTAGAAAATGATAGTGGAGTGATGACAGGAAATATGCAACGAAAATCCCCAGCTGGACTCGAACCAAGGTATTGCAATTAACAGTGACGTCATAAATCCTAACCTGAAGAGGGCTTTACATACTGAACCATCATTGTCACTGACTGAATCAGTAGCTTTTAGAAGTTGAGCTCTCTTCACTGAACATAGTAACAGGCAGGTACTATTAAAAGACCAGTGTGCAGGATTTCTAGTGCACATTCTAAGTGGTGAATTGCCAGATTGGCAACTACACTGAACACCGCTGGCTGGGAAATGAGAATGGGCTGTGAAGTGCGTAGGAGAAACTAAGGTGGCTGTGAAAGGCCCTATCTCCTGCATGTGTTTGGTTTGTCCATTCTAGGCTACTGTAGAAACATGGCATTTCATGGCGGACTCTATGGAAGGTAACTCGTGGAGTCTGTAGATAAAAAGGTCTCAACACAATTCCAAATTATACACTAATGAAAACATACCTATGAATACTGTATTCCATTTCTGACAACAGATCCTCCTCAATTCTACACATCGGAGAACCTTAAAGTGAACTGAACAAAACTATTAAAATCGGCAAAGTGAAAATTTACACCTCTAGAATGAAATACAAAGTAAGTGACTGGGAATCCTTGACCTGAACTCATTTTGAATCAGCAAAGTAATTTGAAACCTCTACAGTTTAGGAAGATATACTGTTTGTTTAATCAACCTTTTTGTAAATCAAACTGTAAATTATTTTATTACTCTCTTTTTGCTCAACTGATTTGAAATGTTGAAAGTAGACACAGTTAATATTAATTAGTATTTCTGTTGCACTGGCAAAGAAGTTTTAGGATAATCACTACAGCTTTGCTTTTGCTTCAATCATGGATCATGGAGTGACTCACAGTTGTTGCAGTGATTTGTCACAAAGAAAGAGTTGGCGTGGGTTGTGTAAACCTTCTGCAGGTGATTCATGTAGGAATAATTGATAAGAATAAAATAATGTAGATGCAAAAACCAGTTTGTATGTTAGTTTGGTCACTGTGTAGCCACCCAGGGTGCTGAAAGAGCAGGGACGTCACTGTGGGTGCTGCTCTCCATGGTGCTGAAGGAGCACAGGCTAATGCTTGTCTACGGTGTCTATAAAAATGAACCAGCTACTCTGTTTTTTTTTATACAGAAATATATAAGTATGTCACCTTCTTTACTCTTTTACTTACACAAAATAAGGTTGTCTATCTTTACTCCAACTCCTCACACAT